CCCGCTGAAGTATATTAATTGATAGAGCGTCAGATTCGTCTGTAGGAGATTCCCCGTTACTTCTCTTCTGGTGTACATATAGCACCAAGGACAGGAATGAACAGTGGACATCATTAGTGAGTGAGGCAGACTGTCAAGAAAGAAGAAAACTGCCTGAAAAAGTAAAGTAATTTTCTGCTCAGAAATTACTAAGACTGGCAAAATGGTCTGCTATTCAATTCGTAGCTAATCTGAAAATCATAAGGTCTTCTCCTTGGCCATAAGTAAATAACTTTGGTTTCCTTTCTAGTGCAGAACTTGCCTTTAGAAAAAGACACTTCCCTGGTCTCCCTTTGCCCCAGCAGAAATCTAGCAAATGGGAATGGAAAGCTCAATGAGCTCAGGAAACAAGCCTCATTAGCATAAGGCTTCCACCTCCTAGAACACCAGTTTATTTTCATTTTTACTTCTTTCTTATAACTGTAAAGGCCCATATTTTGAAAAAAAGAAAAATCTCAATTTAATAATCTAATCCTCTATCTTAAGAAACTAGAAAATGAAAAGCAAACTAAAGCAATCAGAAAGAAAATAATATAAATTAGAGTGGCAATAAATTAAGTAGAGGATATAAAAAGTAGAAAAATCAAAACCACTTTTGATTCTTGAAAATATCAGACTACACGCCTGTAGTCCCAACTACTCAGGAAGACTGAGGCAGGGGAATCGCTTGAACCTAGGAGGTGGAGATTGCAGTGAGCTGAGATCGCGCTGGTGACAGAGTGAGACTCTGTCTCAAAAATAAATAAACAAACAAATAGGATTATAAGAACACTATCAACAAGTGTATGCCAAGAAATTAGATAACCTAGATGAAATGGAGAAACTTCTAAAAAGACACAAACTACCTGTGATGGTTAATACTGTCAATTTGATTGGATTGAGGGATACAAAGTATTAATCCTGGGTTGTCTCTGTGGGTATTGCCAAAAGAGATTAACATTTGATTCAGCAGGCTGGGGAAGGCAGATCCACCCTTAATCTGGTAGGCACAATCTAATTAGTTTCCAGTGATGATAAAGTGGGCAGAAGAACGTGAAAAAGCAGAGATGGACCTAGCCGCTGGGCCTACATCTTTCTCCCACGGTGGATGATTCCTGCTCCCAAACATCGGACTCTGAGTTCTTTAGTTTTGGGACTTGGACTGGCTCTCCTTACTCTTCAGCTTGCAGATAGCCTATTGTGGGAGCTGGTGATCCTGTAAGTTAATACTTAGTACTCTCCCGTTTTCAGTTCTGTCCTTCTAAGAGAACCCTAATACAGATTTTGGTACCAGAAGTGGTTCTAGAGGAACAGAATATTAAGGATGGAGTTCTTTTGTTGGTTTTGGGGTTTCTGGAGTTGGCTGCTTAATATGATTAGACCCCAAAATGCTAAGGATTCTACTTCTAGTAGTATGGAGAACATTGATAGTCCTTGGTGTGAACTGTTTAGACAGTCACACAAAATAAATGCATTTGACACTCCTGATTCACTGCTCATGAGAGGCAAGGAGTTTAGCGACTCTACACATAATACCTTAGACCATATGTGGACAACCAAGGAACATAATGAAATTGGTTGTTTGCTCCTAAGTTCAGCAAAGTGATGAAAGAAAATGATGAACTCAGGGATTCCGTCTCCTGGCTTCAGAAGCAGATACTGAGCCTCAAATCTGCTAAGATTGCCCTGAGTGAGTCTTATCTCCTGTAGAGAAAGAGCTGAAGTTGTGGAAAAACAGACACAAACTCTTATCATGCGAGTGGCTGACTTGCAACAGAAAGGTTTATGCACAACCTTGGGAGGTGTCTACTGTTACAGTGAGGTATTGATTGGAAAAGAATGAGACCCTGCAACTTGGAATGGGGAAGTGTGGGAGGACCCTGATGAAGCTGGGGACATTGAATTTGTAAACTTCTGATGAACCTTTTTTGCCAGAAGGAAGTTTCTCCATCCCCAGTAGAGGCAACATCCCCCCATCCTGACCCATGCTGCCATATCAGCCTTTCCACCTTTGTCTGAGGAGATAAACCCTGCACTGCCTGAGGCAATAGTGATGGCCTCCCCTGAGGCAGTTCCAGGCAAAATAATGTTGATTCTTCTCAGGAGCCACCCCCACCACTCCTGTTTGCTTCTAGACCTATAACTAAACTAAAGTCCCAGCGAGCCCCTACAGGTGAGGCTGAGAATGTGACCCATTAGGAGGTGCTCTACACTCAAGAACTGCTTGAGTTCTCTAATTTATATAAACAGCAATCTGGAGAACAGACATGGGATGGATATCAAGTGTATGGGATAATGGTGGCAGGAACATAGAGTTGGATCAGGCTGAATTTATTGATGTGGGCCCACTAAGTAGGGACTCTGCATTTAATGTTGTAGCTTGGGGAGTTAAAAAAGGTTTTTATAGTTTGTTTGTTTAGCTGAAATATGGATTAAAAGTTGGCCCACCGTGAGCTGGAAATGCCTGATCTCCTTTGGTTTAATGTAGAGGAAGGGATCCAAAAGCTTAGGGAGATTGGGAGATTGGGATGGTGGAGTGGATTAGTCACTTTAGACCTACGCCTCCCAGCTGGGAGGGTCCAGAAGATATACCCTTGACAAATGTCTTGTGAAATAGATTTGTGAGGACAGTATCTGCATCTCTGAGAGCCCTGTAATTGCTCTTCTCTATATGTTAGATCTAATGGTGGGAACTGCAGCCTCTCAACTACAAAATTTAAATCCAATGGGAATAATTGGATCCTGAGGTGGCAGGGGCCAAGTGGCAGCACTCAACCATCAAAGGCAAAGTGGGCGTAGTAACCATAATGGACAGCAGAGGCAAAGCGGCAATCAGAATAGTCTGACTCGTGCAGAGCTCTGGCATTGGCTAATTAATCAGTGTTCCTAGAAATGAAATTGATAGGAAGCCTACTGCATTCCTACCTAAATTATACAAACAGAACACTTCTAGGTCTAATGGACAAAAGACGAATTTGAATTATAAAAACAGAGAATCATGGCCCCTCAATCAGTTTCCAGACTTGAGCCAGTTTACAGACCCAGAACCCCTTGAATGAAGGGGAGGCCAGGTTATCTTGAGGAAGGACCCCACTCTATTACCGACAATTTATGCAGTGAATCTTTCTCTCATCCTTCCGCAAGGAGACCTCTGGCTTTTACCGGGGTAACTGAGCACTGGGGAAAGAGAAATAATCAGACATTTTGGGGACTACTGGACACTGACTCTGAGCTGACATTGATTCCAGGGAACCCAAAATGTCATTATGGTCCCTACAGTTAAAGTAGGGGCATATGGAGGTCAGAAAATTAAGGAGTTTTAGCTCAGGTCCGACTTACAGGTCCAGTGGGTTCCTGGACTCATCCTGTGGTCATTTCCCCAATGCCAGAATGCATAATTGGCATAGACATACTGAGCAACTGGCCCTGACTGGGTGAGGACTATTATGGTGAGAAGGGCCAAATGGAAGCCATTAGAGCTGGCTCTACCTAAAAAATGAGTAAATCAAAAACGATATTGAATCCCTGGAGAGATTGCGGAGATTATTGTGCCACCATCAAGGACTTGAAAGATGCAGGAATGGTGATTCCCATCACATCCCCATCCAACTCTCCCATTTGGCCTGTGCAGAAGACAGATGGATCTTGGAGAATGACAGTGTATTATCATAAGCTTAACCAAGTGGTGACTCCAATTGCAGTTGCTGTACCAGATGTGGTTTCATTGCTTGAGCAAGTTAACACATCTCCTGGTACCTGGTATACAGCCATTGACCTGGCAAATGCCTTTTTCTCCATTCCTGTCCATAAGGCCCATCAGAAAGAGTTTGCCTTCAGTTGGCAAGGCCAGCAATATACCTTTACTATCCTACCTCAAGGGTATATTAACTCTCCAGCTTTGTGTTATAATCTTTTTTTTTTTTTTTTTTTGAGACGGAGTCTCGCTCTGTCGCCCAGGCTGGAGTGCAGTGGCCTGATCTCAGCTCACTGCAAGCTCCGCCTCCCGGGTTCACGCCATTCTTCTGCCTCAGCCTCCCGAGTAGCTGGGACCACAGGCGCCCGCCAGCTCGCCCGGCTAGTTTTTTGTATTTTTTAGTAGAGACGGGGTTTCACTGTGTTAGCCAGGATGGTCTCAATCTCCTGACCTTGTGATCCACCCGTCTCGGCCTCCCAAAGTGCTGGGATTACAGACTTGAGCCACCGCGCCCGGCCCTGTGTCATAATCTTATTTGGAGAGACCTTAATCGCTTTTTGCTTCTGCAAGATATCACACTGGTCCATTACACGGATGACATTATGCTGATTGGATCCAGTGAGCAAGAAGTAGAAAGCACACTGGACTTATTGGTGAGACATTTGTGTGCCAGAGGATGGGAAATAAATCCAACTAAAATTCAGGGAACGTCTACCTCAGTAAAATTTCTAGGGGTCCAGCGGTGTGGGGCCTGTTGAGATATTCCTTCTAAGGTAAAGGATAAGTTGCTGCATTTGGCCCCTCCTACAACCAAGAAAGAAGCACAACGCCTAGTGGGCCTATTTGGATTTTGGAGGCAACACATTCCTCATTTGGGTATCTTACTCCAGCTCATTTATCAAGTGACCTGAAAGGCTGCCAGTTTTGAGTGGGATCCAGAACAGAAGGCTCTGCAACAGGTCCACGCTGCTGTGCAAGCTGCTCTGCCACTTGGGCCATATGACCCAGCAGATCCAATGGTGCTTGAGGTGACAGTGGCAGATAGGGATGCTGTCTGGAGCCTTTGGTAGGCTCCCATAGGTGAATCATAGCAGAGGCCTCCAGGATTTTAGGGCAAGGCGTGAGCCACCGCGCCCAGCCTACAGCAGACTTTCTGTAAGAGGTAACTAATATTAACAGTGTAAACTAAGACCATATTTCTCGGTAGCCATGTAATACTGTTCGTTCTTACTCAACTGTTATTCGGTATTGATCACAGTTCAGGTGCACAAAACAGAATCCATTCTGGTTAGTTTAGCAGAAAAACATTTACATTTTACTGACAACAGAAATAATTTATAGCCCAACCCAGTACACAAAAATGGTGGCTATGTCCCAGTGAGTTGATTTCATGACTCACTAATGAACTGTGACCCACAGATGGACAATTACATTGCAGGGTATTAAATGGCTTGGAGAATCACCAGAAAAGAACAGTCTTGCCTGTGCTTCCACAAACTGGGTGGCCAAGCGGACTGATAATTCCAGAAGCACTCCATGTGTATAACCCACATCCTCAAAATGATGCCTGGTGTCTCAGAATCTGATGGACAAAACCTAAGTGACACCAAAAAACCCTGACACAAAGGAATTTGAGAAACATAGTAAAGAAAGGAAAGCACACTAGCAGAAACTTCCAAAAGATGTCAATCAAGCTAAGCCACAGAATCAGTTCCGTATCTGCAATGAAGTGCTGCTTATGTATGTGAGACAGAAAAACCTGGTGGCCGAAGTATGTATTATTTCATTTATCTTATCCCTGTAAATGGCATATTTTCTTGATTACAGCCTATTGCTACTTCACTTAGGGAAACTCATAGCTACAACTAGTACAACTTGCCTGATGAGATGAAATTCAGGGGAACAAAACAAAGGTAACAAATCCCCAAGTTACATGTCTTTCACAAACATACCTCTACCCAGTCAATAGAGGATTTATCAAAAGAAAGATTAATAGTGGAAAAATAAACTGAGGATTCTCTTTTCACCCTCATCACAAAGAATCTTAAGATTAAAAAGAAGTTTTTAAACTAGTGAAGAGAAGGAAGAACAAGGAATACCTTTAATCTCTCCTTTTCATTTCATTTTCTTTTAGTTCAGCTTATGCAAGATTTTGTACCTTGTGTAAGAATTTAGGTTTACTGAATACAAAATATTGCTTAAGATTTAAAGGAATTAAAGCAAAATAAGTTGCTGAAGGGGGATCATTTGAGTTAAATACAGGTTTTTTTTTTTTTTAATCTGTAATTGATGTACATTTGATTTTAAGAAGACACTTTACATCAGGTCACCACAAAGCAGATTTACATGCAACCATCAATTGCAGAAAAACAAAGTTTCTTTTTGATCCAAACACAAAAAGCTTTGTGTTTTATTTTTTTATGATCTCTTCCTTGACCATAAAAAAAAAAATAAAGTAAAAAATGCAGTACTTTTCGAAGGTGAAGCTAGTAAGTTTACAGAAGTGTAAAACACCAAAACACTTTAAGCAAAAACTTTTTTTTTTAAGAAAAAGGTATGACTTCTCGTTTTCTGTTCTTGGTATAAATTTTAATTCTTTCCAGTGGAACCAAAACCGCCTGAACCCCTTTCGGTGTCATCCAAAGCCTGAAAGATAGACAGATAGAAAGGTGGGAAGCTTCACAGTCTTTTTAGAGTCTCTTTCAGTTTTTCCCTCCAGCTCCTAAGAAAAATATAGCCAGAATTCTACTCTTGCTATATCATCTTTTCAAAAGGGAGATTACAGGAAGAAGAAAATTAAATTCTAAAAAGCTCCATAAATTAGAATATTGGATAATTTTTAAAAATTCTAATAAAATATTAGAAGTTCACAGTATGTTTAAATAACTTATTATGTAAAGTAAATACTACATAATAGCTACATGAAAAACATTTTAAGAAATTCTTAAAACTAGTATTTTAAATTTGCTTAAAATAAGTTTAGTCATATATACTATTTAGTTACAAACAGTATATTAAATCCTCAAGATTATACATATTTCTTCATTTAAGATGTTGTATTACTTATTCTCTATCATACTTTATAATACTTACTTGAACTTCTTCTATTTCTGGATAAAAAATCCGTTCGCAAATGAGCTGTGCAATTCGATCACCCTTTTTGACTTCAAAGAAAGAATAGTTTATTATTGATATTACTGACATTCTCCACATCCTCTCTTATTCAATGAGAATTAAAGGAGTCAATATTATTTACACATACATGACTCCGAAAATTCACTAGAATTATGTGAATGTATATATTTAACATACCTTCAAACTTTTCTTTGCCAAAATTAAACAGTACAACACCAACATTTCCTCTATAATCTTCATCTATGACACCAGCTAGAAAAAAGAAAAATAGTATCATCTCAATTTTTGCTATCTGAACACTAGAGGTGTAAGATCTCAAAATCATTGTTATGTAGCTCTGAGATTTGTATTCTTACAATTGAATAAGTGAATCTTGCCCTGGTACTATGTAAAGCCTCAAAACCAAGAAATGATATTACTAAAATACAAATAAAAATTTAGAAAACACATCCTAATTTTCCAACCTGTCACTCTTTATCAAATGGCAACCATTTCCTCTTTTAAGCTGGGAGTAGCAATGACTATCTCCAACCTACTGTCTACCCACCGCACACTTGCCAAAAAGACTAGGAGAAAATTACAGTTTGGGTTTTAAAGGCTTTTCCTGGTATCAGCTTCCCACTAATACCCAGACTGAAATACGATTGAGTCATAAACAAAAATGTAAAAAAGCCTAAAGCTCTGCAGCGGAATAAGTCAACGCTGACATTGTTAAGCAGCAGTCTCGCAAATCTTAGAACATTCCATTGGTACATTAAAAATGTACCTGAACTTTTCAGTTCATAATCTTCCTCTCCTTTTAATTTGAACCACCATCCTTTCTTAGAGCATGATTTCTCAGAAGACAGTAGCACATAGGCTTCATGAGTACAACTTTATATGTGTAATTAGTACTTCTTTGAGATTATGAACATAGCGGGCGAAGATCTTTGCAGGGGAGACTTGAGCCAGGTCCCTGCCATAGCCCAGAGAGTTATACTTACCAGAATTGCTAGCATTTATCTAGCAATTTATTTAGATAATAATTTAGCCAATAATTTAAAATATTTCCATAAACACAAGCACAGATAATACAGGTGCATCAGGCCTTTTCGTTTTTTTATATTGATAAATAATTCACAAAGCATACAATTTATCCATTTAAAGTGTTACAGTTCCACAGTTTATAATGTATCAGAGTTGGCCAACTATCGTCACAGTCAATTATAGCACATTTTCATTACCCTCCCTCCGAAAATCCCCTACCTTATTAGCAGTCACTTCCCTTCCTCCTTCTACTCCCAATTTCCTGCTATACATGTAATTCTTTCCCCTCAGTTTGTGAAAGGCTTGATAGGACTCACGTGAATCTAACTGAATACAGCTCCATGTCATATCTTACTTGTTATTAATATTCTACCCCCAACAAAAACGCTGATGAAGGAAAAAATATGGAACTAAAAATAATCATGTGTTCAGCTCAATGGGCAGTAATGCTATTTGCCCATACTCCTCATTATTTGAAAGCTGAGAAAACAAACAAAAAAAAAACCCCAAAACATACCCACCCCCCATTTTTTTAGAACAAAGGTAATTCCAAAGCATATCCTTTCAATTTTCTCATATAAGGGGGGAAAAAAGCAAACGCTTAGGTCCACCATATTCAGCAAAAACAACATTTTAGATTTTCCGAATGGATTACAACATACATTTAAATGAACCCCTGTGCTTTATGAATGAATTACTAGGGACAAGTGAATCTGAATTTAAGCACTTCTTAAAAGGTTCCTGATGCAATACTTTTACGAGAAGAGTGAGTATAAAACTGGGCAGAAAAGCAGCAAAGGCAGTTCATCTCCTGTCTGGTCTGAAGGAAACAATCAATTATTGAACTTGACCAATTCAAATTACCAAACCCTGCTTTATTTCTCCACTGTCAGTTGACCATTAATTTAGACCTTAATATTTATGAAAAAAAATTGATATAAAGATGAAACCAGCTGTTTTCCACATTACCTATATGGAAAAAATTTTGACTGCAGGGACAATTTAAATTAGATTTAATGAAGAAATCCCTCAACATAGCATGTTGTTCCATGTCAGAAAAAATGGCCACAGTAGGCTAGAGAACTTCCATGCTGGGAGATTTTGAGGTACAGGCTAGTAATTCATCTACCTTGAATGAGTTAGAGAAAGACAATATGGACTGACCGACTTCTGAACTATTCTGTTTCTACTTTATTTGAAAATTTTTAAATAACCAAAACAATGCAAATACATATAAAGTAAAAGCTTATAATATTCTCTTACCCTCCCTGAGATAGCTAATGTTACAGAAATATATCTTACATACTACTTTTTTTCTATTTATCCTTTGAGATTAATAAATGTAAATGTTAGCCATTCTTTTTAGATACAAGATATGGAAATATGGTATCTCTTTTTCTCTGTCTTTTTTTGGCAGGGTCTTATTCTATAGCCCAGGCAGGAGTATAGTGGTATGATCACAACTCACTACAGCCTCAACCTCAAGTGATTCTCCCACCTCAGCCTCTAGGTGCGCAGGCACCACCACACCTGGCTAATTTTTGTATTTCTTGTAGAGAGAAAGTATCCCTATGTTGCTCAAATGAGCCTCAAACTCCTGGATTCAAGCAATCTGTCTGTCTCAGCCTCCCAAAGTGCTGGGATTACAGGCATGAGCCACGATGCCCAACCTGTACCATATGTTTCTATGTAACTATTCTCTTACATAATATCAGACACAGGCTGCTTTTACATTTTGCTATAAAAAATAAAGAAGCCCTTTAAATATATCCTTGTACGTTAATACTTTTTATTTTCATCAAATAGGTTGCAAAAAAAGGTGTAGCCATTCAAACTTCCATCAGCAATATTTGAGAATGCCCATTTCCAAAATGCTTGCCAATATCTGATGGCAACAATCTCTTACATTCTGGCCAATATGATGAGTACAAAATGGTTATCTCATTGCCTTACTTTTCATTCCCTGATGACTAGTGAGGCTGGACTTTTTTCCTCCCATTTGTTGGACATTTGCATGTCCTCGTCTATATTTTGTTCATGTTTTTTTTTCTCATTTGTTCTTTTTCATATAAATTGTAAATATTTGCTTGTTGGCTTTACAGTATCTTCTAACATACAAAAACATTCCCTTTTTGCAAAGGCCTCTGCTGTACCTGTAAAGCAGTCCTATCAGAACTACTCAAATGTCTTGAATTCTAGAGACAGGTGATCTTTATACTTGGGTCAAGAAAATGTGAAAAACCTGTAACTGACTACAAGAAATTAAGTAGTTTGAAGTCAATTCAAACGTATGGCAGAAAAAAAGGCCCTCAACATTTTTTTTTAACATGAATGCTGATGGTATAAAACTTTCAGTAGTTCCAAATTCATTTATCACCCAATTGCCATTCGACATTCAAGAAAAGCCTTCTCTGCCTACAGGATATAAGTATCAGGGACATTTTTCCTCAGAGAAAGCAGAAAGTACCTTGAAGTTATCACTGGAAAAATCATGCATTGGAACTGGCAGAATGATTAACTGACTTCAGGCAAAAGTTTTACTGTGTCAAGAGTTTGGCATGTCATTTGTTGGAAACCTTTTTTGAGTGAAAAACTATCCACACCTACCAGATGTGAATTCCGAACAGAATCCTGAATGCTCAACTTTTCCCTTTGACCCTTATTTACAGCCTGGGATTTCTAACAACATCTCTTTTCAGAAATAAAAACTGTTGCCAACTATGACAAACTTGTGCCTAAGGGAGATTGTTAAGGTTCTCTGCATCCAAGAACACACCACAATGTAATTTTATGAATAATACCATACCAACCACCAGGCAAACTAACTTTCCATTCTTTTACATGAATTTTTTTCCAGAAAGTTGTTTTAAACAGAGCAAAAATTAGTAACAAAGTCGAAAAAAAGAAAAAGTTTCCACATAAAAACAATCTGCGAAGTCCCTAAGGACAGAAATTATATCTCACAGAATCTAATATGTGCCAAGCACTGTATTAGGTATTTCATACATATTATCATTTAATCCTCTCACCTCTCAGAGGCAGGCACACTAATTTCCATTGAAAGATGAGGAAACAGGCTCAGAAAGGTTAATAACTAGCTAGTGACAGAGCTGGGACCTAAATCCAGTTGTTATTCCAAAGCTCCTGTTTCTTGCACAATCATTTGAAACTTCGTTGAAAATATATACAATCGGCCGGGCGCGGTGGCTCAAGCCTGTAATCCCAGCACTTTGGGAGGCCGAGACGGGCGGATCACGAGGTCAGGAGATCGAGACCATCCTGGCTAACACCGTGAAACCCCGTCTCTACTAAAAATACAAAAAACTAGCCGGGCGAGGTGGCGGGCGCCTGTAGTCCCAGCTACTCCGGAGGCTGAGGCAGGAGAATGGCGTAAACCCGGGAGGCGGAGCTTGCAGTGAGCTGAGATCCGGCCACTGCACTCCAGCCTGGGCGACAGAGCAAGACTCCGTCTCAAAAAAAAAAAAAAAAAAAAAAAAAGAAAATATATACAATCATTTATATCCTTAAGTTACAGTCCCAAATGACCATAGTTGACCTTGTAAAAGGTCAACTTACAGAGCATAACTTACAGAGTCCGAGGAATCCTCAACCCGAGAGTGGGCTGTCAATGTCCATCCCTGCTATGTAAAACTTAGCTCCCCTTTAATCCCTAAGAACTGGGTACTTTTGGGGTCCTGTCTTGGCCAACAGCACCACCTAGTGACACGATGGAGAGACATCACGCCCACCAAATGTCAGACTAAGGAGCAGGTCTAGGATAGCCAGGTTTCATTAAGTGCTCAGCCCTTGCAGTGGCACATAAAAGTGAGCTAATTCAGGACGTGTTTAGTTGGTGAGGGGGATGCAGCAGGGTAATCTTCACACTTAATTGCAGTGGAAAGAATGAGGGGGTTGGAATCACACAGAGACTCCAGTTTTTAACCACATATCCACGTGGGCTCATTTCTAAGCCAGAGCTATATAAAGTAGCTCTGTAAAAACGGGTGGAGGAGATCTAGCATACCTACTTATCTTGTTAAATGAAACATTCACTACTGATGGGATAAAGGATCAGTATGTGGGGACCACGTTAAGTGGGGTCTGGATCCCAGCTGGAGGAGACCTGAAACAAGGAAACCACATCAGGAAAGTAGAAGTTTCCTTACAATAAGAGGAGTAGCTCTGTAGCAAGAGTAGTTAGCAGAGGACACTGAAGGTTCTTCATGAAAGGTACCACATGAGGTAGGGTTAACTTTGGGAGACATGAGAAAGGCTTTATTATAAGGGAAACAGGTACCACAGAGGACTGTCTTGACAAATTTAGAGAAAAGTGTTTTCTCTCCTGACTTCAGGGAAAGATTTTGTTATATTTTGCCAAAGACAGATAGCTCTCTTATGAAGAAAATTCTTACAAGATAGCCTTGTGTTTTCTAGAACTCTTGTTGCTTAAATAATTACCTAATTATTACATCATTAAATCAAGGTCATTAATAATCAGGTAATAATTATTTTAAAAATTAAGTTAGTAGTTAAGCAAAATATAATTGCTTAAAATAACCACAAAGCTTTGCCTCCTCATATTATAATAACAAGCTTTCCTCTAATCATTTTATTTTCTTAAAAATAAAATCTGTCATTTGAATATCACCTTTTAAACAAAGACAAAGTAAATGCTTGCAAACATTTACAGAATAAAAAAGGAAATGTATTACCTCCTACATCAATAAAGTATTTTGCAGCCAAGCCTGACCGTGGAGCTAAAAAACAAAAAAGGAGACATTGGTTATTTTAAGGGGGAAGGGCTATACCAGAGATAACTGACGCAATTTAAGCATGTCATTCTCTTCACCTGTAATATCTACATCTTCATCTTAACTTTAGCACACGGTTTTGAATTAAAGAATACATATTCATCATACTGCATTACCAAAGTTGGAAAGACTAGTTTAGGAAAATTCTACAAGGTTTTAATTCAAAACTAACTTAAACCACTCCCATGTGACTTCAGTTAGAATTTGTGGTGCTGCAGACAGGGGAGAAGGACTGCTAGAATGAGCTGAAAGGTGAGCAAACGGGAACAACTATAGGCTGCTCTTTCAAGAAGTTAAGCCTCAAAGGGGAAGAAAGAGGAGTGTGGCCAGCAGGAACACTACTGAGGAAGAAGACTTTGGTTTTAAGATGGGAAACCACAACATGTACAATGTAGATGGGAAGGGAAAGGAAGGGGAAGGGAGATGGAAACAAACCTAACCAAATAGTAGCAGAGCATAGCCTACGACTTGGGACCCCACTATTCATGATTCAGATGCCAAAAGACATGCCTGTAGGAAACACACGAACCAGAGTAAGATAAACAGGCTAATATCAGTTAACTAAAAATGCCAAAAACTAAGTCTGAATGATTCAATACTAGTATATTTTTTAATCCTAAAAACTGGAAAAAATAAAAAGCTATGGTTACACCTTATTGCAGACTCAAGCATCAGGCCTATAATTAATTATCCTAACTAGTATTTTATTTTAGAATAATTTAAATCAGGCACTTTGTCAATAATGCTGCCTCTTTCTATACTAACCTTTATTTCACTCCATCTCCTGCCCCTTCCCCTGAAAAAACTCTAAAAAATGCAGTCAATGATGCCCAAGAGATGAGATGAGAGGCCATCTTGTTATCTTTTAAGGGCTGAAGTACTGGCAGTTTCCCCGCTCATGGCTAATAAGATAGTGCCAGTCTAACTCCTTTCCCTGGAGGAGGGCGTCACAGCTCCATTGACTCCTTTATGTTTACTCTGGTTAGTCAAAAAGAACTTACGCTCTTGCAAAGAACTCTGGTAACAACTGATCCGCTCCAGAAAAATCAAACCTGTTGACTTGTACTCCATTTTGTCCTACCTCCTCCCAATGCCTCTACAACACTGAAGAGTATCCCTTACCCTAACCCCACAACCAAACAAGAAAAGGTTAAGTAGGCTTACACACTCCGGGACCAACAAGGTCCCAAGTTTTACTCTCCTAATATAAAATGCCATGTTCTGAGAACAGCCTTCTACGCCAGTGTGAGCCTAAAAGCTCCAGTGAGGAAGGAAAAAAACAAAAGGAGGCAAAGCAAAGATGTAAATAAAGCCTTTCAAACAGTGCATTTGCTATCACAAATGGTGCTTCTTTTAGGACACAGCCCAAACAATATTGCCTGCTTATTACCCCAAATGAAACATGAAGAATGTTATCACAAAGGAGAACTTAACAAATAGTTACCTGTTTCTTAAATGACTCACCTACTCTTCCATAACACCCAGAAGGGAGAGCTATCTGAATGTCCGTTTTCACAAGAGCTTTCTCCATAGGTGGTATTATGTAATCATAGGCACTAAGAAAACGTTGAAAGAAAATAACTGCAAATGTATTTATAAAATTGTTTTTATATTTTGTGACCAAGCATATAAAATTGCTTTCAATATATTTAATGAATTAATGAACTTTAGTTTCTAAAATCAACCTTGCTATGATGAATTCCCAATTCATCTTAAAAGTTTATGAAGAAGGTAGAGGTAGTTATTTTATTATTAAAATGACAGCTTTAGATAAAATAATTCTCCGTGAATATTTTTGGTGGTGTGAAGAGATGTCCACATTGTAAATCTTTGCCCCTGAACAAAAGTTTATTGGGAAACTGAGGTACTTATTAGCATGAAAGGGCAGAAAGGCAAACTTTCAAAAGGTGGATGCTTTACTACCATAGTTTGAAAAGGAAAAAAATGAAGAACAAAGAAAAAAGGCCAAATATTACTAATAATACTAGCTATCACTGATTAAGCCTTTACTATGTGCCAGGCACAGTTCTAACTGGTTTACATATATTAACTCATTTTATTCTCACAATCATTTATGTGATTAGGGAATATCTGCAGAAGGAAAGGAGAAAATGGGTGGACAAAATAAGAGGGATAAAGAACTGTGTTGTATCTGTCAGGCGGGGCTTGGTGGTTTGCCAAGCTTAGGTGATGAATTTCCTGGCTGAGGGAGAGAGGTGATCACTGTGAACAGTCCCTGGAGATGGACCTTGTTTAGGAACAGAATTCCTCTAAGATCCACGTAGCAAAGGCTGCTACTCTTGCTATTACTGTGGCCCTCTGCTGGGTGGAAATTTAAGAGATTTTACAATGAGCAGAACCAGAAGTTTACTTTGGAGAACTGCATTAAGTCTGGTAAAGCAGTACTATACTTCCCCTTTTTTCGCTGAAATCCCTCTTTAAATAGTTATGGCCTAATTTATTACAGATACATTATTTCCACGTCTATTTCAGTATACAGAAAGTCACCTGAATTTATTATGAGGCTACTTAAGGTATCTTAAATCAAGGACTCCCCTAGGACTCAAAAAAGTGCTCCAAAATATACTTCGGAAAGGTCTAGTCAAACTACATCACTCTTTTATTCATTAAAATTAAGAGACCGTAGTTTTTCCAGCTGCAATTGTCCATACCTACTTTCCTTTTCCTTTCTTTTCTGTTGCTATCATCATGCACTACTTTCTCTTCTCCTGTGCTTAGACCAATAGTTCTCATGTTTGAATTACCTGAGAAACTTTAAAAGAAATCCCAATGCTTGGGATTTAGTATAAACTCTCCTTCCCTCTCAGCATTACTTTTCTCCTACCTTAATGGCTCTAAGAACTGGGCACAGTAGTCAAAAGAAAAAAAAAAAAAAAAGCCCAAAATTCGGGATAAAAAATGGTATCATCTTCAAGTCTCTGGGGAAATCAATTCAGCTCTTCACAAACTCCCGCCTGCGTAAAAAGTAACACTTATCTAGTCAAGGATTGTTGTGAGGACTAAATACAACAGCATAAGGAAAGTTTTTAGTACAGGCAAAACGTGCTGTAGAGATGAAGTGTGGTAGTATTACAGGCAGCTCTGCCTTTCGTATTCGGATGCCTTCTGAAATTCCGCCCTGGGGCCAGATGAATGTATAGAAAATAACTTTTTAAGGCAGATGCATCTCTGTTCATCCTTCTTAGGTGTTTTCACGCTCACATCTAGGCTCTCACCTTGGCTTTTCCATTGAGCACAGCATCACCCTCAGGCCACTCGAAAGCCACCATGTGCCTTCCTCTCTATCTTCTATTTAGGAAGGGCACAATAAACGTTGCAAAGTAACGCCTTGCTAGACGTCGTATAGTTATTTTACTTATTCTGCAGTCTTTGCCCAAATCTCTATTTAATTTATGCCAAAGATGAAAGCTAAAATTTTCAGTATGAAAAAGGCAGAAATCCTATTTATAGCTAGTGTGTTCCTGTGATCTCTTCGATGACTGTTTCTAGCTGTGGCAGCGGATGGCCGGCCCTTCCCAGCCTCCTCGCCGGGAGGTCCCCGCTCACCTGTACAGGTCGTAGCCCGCGGCCCGCGCGGAGCCCCGGGTGGGGGCCGTGGCGTGATCGGAGAGCCGGGCAAAGCGGAGCTGCATGCCGCCCTCCTCTGCAGGCCGGGGCCGCTTACTGGGTGAAATGGCGGGTGTCTCTTCAGAGCAGGGCATAGCAAAGCCAGAGGGCGAGCGAGGAGAACACCCGAGCAACAAGAGAGCGCACGATGAGTTGCGCCGCACGGAACCCGCCAAAACCGAAATTTCCCGCCAGCTCCGCCCACCCACCGACCCCTCCGGGACGAGTCCACACTTCTGGCCGAGAGGGGAGGCGGGATTCACATTTTGGGTTAGAAGCCCTTCTCGGAAAGCAGGTTTGGGATCGGAAACTACTGGGTCCCAGTCATCCATCCACATTCAGCGCATAGGGCCGACGACAGCTTTTGGGGCGTCGCCCTCACACACTAGAAAGCCGCCCCCCCCGCCAGGGACCCTAATGGACTCCCCCCGCGCGCACAGGGGCCGCCCGCCGGCCTACTTCCCCCACCGCCTCAAGCCGCGGGGCTTTTTTCCGGAAGGCCAGGGCCTTTTGCCCGCCGCTCTCCTACCCTGCCCGGGCGCCGGGCATCCCCCCGGCTTAGGAAGCTCGCCCTTCCAGCCCGCGGCCCCGGCTGTACTGGCTCCGCGACAGCCTCGGCTCAGACTGCCAGCGCTGGACAGCGGCCAGGGCGTCCAGTGCTGCGCTGCGCGGCCGAGGGGCGGGCCTGGCCCGGAGAGTCCCGCGGCCTCGGCCCTCTGCCGTGCGCCTCGCGCGTTTTGCATCGCTGAGCGAAGCAGAGACGTAAGGAAATGGTAGCAGAGCGCGGGGCGAGGGCAGAGGAGAGTCATTTCCCCCAGAGTTTCGGCTGGTTGGCTTCTCGGCACCTCCGGACGTGCGCCAGGCTTCCACCCTGAAGACGCGCGCCTCCCGGGAACATGACCTCGGAAGCAGTCGCCGCCGTGCGAGGGGCGTGGAGAGGCGGCGCAGGCCCTGGGGCACCAGGAAGACGGTGCCCTTGGCGTCCTGAGTCTTGCTGCCGCCTCCGGGTGCCTACGCCTCTTGCCCTCGCTCTTCTTGTTTGCTCGGGCCCCCATTTTTCCGCGAGTTCACCAGGCCCGGGCCCTGCTCCTGGGCTGACTTACCTGCGGCGTCACCGCCAGCGGCCATGACTCCCGGGCTCTGAGTTCAGCGGCGCCCTAAGCGCCGGAACCGCATGTGGGTGCCGGTGACAGTTACTGCACCCGGTGCCGCTCCCCAGACTGGGCAAGACACCGCGCCCGATTTCCTTTCAGCACCGAGTGCCAGACGTTGTAGTTTATTCGACCGGAGGCAGGGAGGGCGGTAGTATTCTATCAGGTTTGGGATAACCCAACAGAAACGCAGCGGGAACGCCTTGGCTAGGAGTCGAACAAGGATCCCGGGCCGCAGTGGTATAGTTTACAGTGGGGGATAAAGCAGTCACTTTCTAGATAGTTGTTTTTCTTTTTCTGAGCTGCAAGTATCTCGTTATTTCTCACACAAATCTGAGAGCTGAATTGAATGGTTTTGAATTTTCAAAGTTAAGCTGTGGGACAGTTTTAGATAAATGACAAGTAGAAGTGTTATTAGAGTATTATTGGGGAAGTTTTACATTCATTGCTGTGCCTTTTCATACAGGCCCCACCTTTTCGGTCTCCTTAACTGGGTCCTCTTCGTTGCTGAAAGTCCTTTGCATGAGGCTATGGAATATACACTACCTTCTCTGGACGTTAAATATTAGCTACACCTTGAGGACTCCCAGATTTATGCCTATAGCAACACGATCCGAGCCCTGCAACTCTTCGACCTCATTTTGAGCCAACATTATTTTACTCCCTTATTTTGCTGGAGTACTTTCTCGAGTTATTTACTTAAAGTGTTCACATGAGAGACATATTTGATTCCTTGCTCACAAATGACTGCCTCATTGGACTAAAGGCTCAAAGGGATCAGAATACTTAAGCCACAAACTCACAACTATAGTTCTGCCTAATACACTGAATACCCAATCTCTCTTAACAAGCATAATCACCATGAAAAGCATACTCTGAATTACGCCAGTGGCGTAGAAGCACCAGGAGACAAAAGTTCTGTAATTACAGTCCAGAGAAAGGCTTGTTATTTCATTTTAAAGCATCTTTTGAGTTTTATGAAGTGAAGAAATAAAAACAGGCCGGACGTGGTGGCTCATGCCTGTAATCCCAGTATTTTGGGAGGCTGAGACTGGCAGATCACTTGAGGTTAGGAGTTTGAGACCAGCCTGGCCAACATGGTAAAACCCCGTCTCTACTAAAAATACAAAAATTACCCAGGTGTGGTGGTGCATGCCTGCAATCCCAGTTACTTGGGAGGCTGAGGCAGGAGAATCACTTGAATCAAGGAGGTGGAGGTTGCAGTGAGCCAGCCTGGATCACACAATTGCCCTGCAGCCTGGGCGACAGAGCAAAACTTCCATCTCAGAAAAAAGAAAAAGAATTACCTTTTATAAGCAGATGGCTTAAGTGCCAGGGTACACAGGAGAGTCATCAGAAGAGCTAGGGTAAATGCACATGTCCAAGCCCCATCACCAACTGACTACGCAAAATCTCCAGGGTGATTCTGTTGCCCACCCCTGGTAAAAGACAGCTGCTCTAGGGGATTTATTTCTAGAGAATCTGCAGGGGTCAGGACATCCTGAAAAGAGTTATGTCACGTTTAACCAATATTACCAGCTTTACCAAGTATACTATACTGTGGACTGTTTTAATAAAGGCTCCATTACCTTAAATACAGGAGCAGAGCCAGGGCCTTTGTTCTTGGCAATACATCTGTGGTACAGTTGTATTAAGAGTAATTGCATGGCTGGCCCGAAGATAGTGAGTTATCTCAACTGATTTTTCACAGTCAGGAGTTTGATCTGAAACCCCTTGTTCTACTTTCTCCCCTTCTCACTACTATGCTTGACTAGTCTTAAAGAAAAATAATTTTAAAAAGAATAACTGCAGACCATGCAGCATTCAGAGTATTTGCTTATTTCTTAGTTATGCTGAAACTATTAAATAAACAAGTCCCTAAAGATGTCCCAATAGTTAAACAGGACTGCAAGGCTGAAACACTGTAGAATGTAAAGTGAAATTTTAATATAAATTTTAATGTAAGAAATATATTTGCCGGTTTTAATTGTGCAAGATTAGCTAAGGGGAAAAGAATTGAGGGGAATCACATGGACTAAACTGGAAAGTTCTTCAAAAACTAAATCAGCTCTAAGCTCCCACTGTCTCTTCTGGCTTATATGATCTCTTCATATTGTGTCTCCTCTCTCATCTTTGTAGGGCATCCAATTGGACTGGAAAATTAACCATATAATGCAGACCATCTTTATACCTCGTTCAGACATTAATTGTTTGGCTCCATCTGGCTCGAGTAGCAGAACTGGTTTCACTCCACCACACAGACTATTTTCATAGTAGTGGTAAAGCAGTGTAACAGGCAAACATTGAGATTTTGTAAGCTGCCTAGTGTATTTCGATTGTTAAATATGTTTGGTGATGAAAACCCTGGAAACTTCTATTGACCAATCAGTCTGCCCAAGGAATCTTTTCAGTTCATCTTCAGTAATACTCATTAGCCTTTCAGCCTGATCTTTGGCTCATAAATTTCAAGGTATGATGATGGAAGCTCAAGCAATGTTCCTGTGTGTAATTATATTAAACCAAACAAAGGTAAATATGGACTCAATGTCAGAAACAAGTAACGTCTGGAAATCTATGTTATAACTAAGGGGCACTAAGTTGCAATTATTGCATCAGAGATTTGGGAACTAGGAACATTTTAACCCATTTTGTGAAAGCTCAGGAATCAAGATATTCTTCCTTTGAAATACTTATACATGTCTTAGTTATGTCTTAGTTAGCTTGGGCTGCCATAACTAAATACCATAGACTGAGTTAAACAACAGAAATTAATTTTCACACAGTTCTGGAGGCCCAGGTCAGGGTGCCATCATCGTGGTGTTCTGCTAAGGGCTCTCTTGTGGCTTGCAGAGGCCACCTTCTCTCTGTGTCCTCATGTGGTCTTTCCTTGTATTAAGACCCCACCCTTATGACTTAATTTAAACTTGATTACCTCCCCAAGGCCGCATCTCAAATACCATCACACCAGGGGTTAGAACTTTAACATTAAATTTGGGAGGGTGGGGCGCATTCATTCCATAACAGGAATCAAGATATTTTTCCTGTAAAATGCTGTCACAAAATTAATGTGTATTCTTGATCACATGCCTTAATTATTTCTTAATGTAACACACATTTCTTTGCAATATTTTCATTTGGGAATACATTTCAGATCACCAAACATTTCTGTATCATGGGGCTTCTTTAAAGGGCTTGAAAACTTTTCAGGAGAGCAACAAATACCCCTCTCCCCCATATTTTTGACTCAGGAGAGGTGAGGAGGGTAGCAGGGGAAAGCTAGGATCCTTAGTCAGATTTCTCTGCCATATTCTTTCTTTCTGCTGTTTCCTGTCTTTTCTTGTTGGTTATAGACCTTCTCTTCTTTACAAACTTGCTCGATCTCACCCTCCCATATTCTGAGCAATAAAGGGTAAGTAAAGAAAAAACCCTGGATTACTAAGAAGGGCATTTCAAAAGTGTTATCCTGACTGTGTGTGGAATTACATGCCTGTAATTCCAACATTTTGGGAGGCCAAGGCGAGAGAATTGCTTGAGCTTGGGAGTTTGAGACCAGCAACACAGTGAGACCTTGTCTCCACACACACACACCAAAAAAAACAACAAAAAACAACAAAAACAAAAAACCTAACAAATTAGCTGGATGTTGTGGCACACGTTTGTAGTCTCAGCTACTTGGTAGGCTGAAGTGGACGGATTGCTTGAGCTTGGCCAGTCGAGACTGCAGTGAGCAGTGCTTGCACCACCTGCACTCCAGCCTGGGCCACAGAGTGAGACTCTGCCTCAAAAACAAAAGTATTATCCCTTTTACTTTTAATCAATATGTTAATGCAAATTATTCATAAAATGCTACATGAAATGTGGCCAAGACAATCTAATGAATTGGCAAATTTCTTTTTGGAATAACGATGTGATTGCCTCCATGCCTTCATTGTATTCACGTATTCCTTGAAGTTAAATATAAGTTCTGTAGGATGCTAATGGAAGTTTCACACTGACAAAAGTTGGGGACATACCCTTTGGTAATAATGGCTTAACTAGTTAAAGTGATTTCTGTATTGCAGGACTTCTCAGAGTCTTTAATGACCATTGTGAATTTCCAAGCTGGTGCTATGTGCTCTGGAAGCATTTCCCAAACATCTGGCCATAAAACCATTTTTTTGTAAAGGATATATTAGCAGTCTTTTGCTGGTAAGTCATAGAAACTAACCTGAGCTAACTGTATCAACAAATAATATTTATTTGGAAGAACAATAGGTTCAATTCAACCTGTTGAGTTGAACTACCAAGCCCCAGGAAGAACAGGCAGCTATTGGAAACTTTGTGATTAAATTTTTTAGCATTTAACCTTGATCTTTGTTTGCAGTCAAATTTGACATCCAGTTTTACTTTTTCTTTCCATTTTTGTTTTTGATCTACATTGTGATCCTTTCAGTTATTACAAACCTTCATTAAAGCATGTTGCGTACAAGGTTAGTGGCATTTTAGGCTAAGAAGGGATAAAGTGGAGAATGGGAGTATTCTCTCCAAGGATCACACTTCCTTTGATTTTAACCTGATGATGACAACATTATGCTAAAGGAAATCCTAGAATCCCCTCAGTAATCAACAGAAGTGATCAGAGGCCCCATCTGAGTGGGGGTTTGGAGACCTCGGGGGACAAAACGGGGGTGGTTCTGAGAAGAAACTAGGCAACAATGTAGAATTAGACCTTAAAACAAATTGACTCTCAAATAAGCTGGAGGAAAGTGACTCATGAGATAGGAG